ACGCTGACTCCAAATCGAACTTATAGCCGGGGTATCTATGGCTAAATACACTCTCAATCTATTCTGGAACAACAAGAAAGGAAAAAGCTTCAGAATCCACGAGACTCGTATCAGTGATTACCACTTTGAGGCAGCCGGAACGAACCACCAGCATAAAGCATCTGATAAACCGGTCTAATCCTCTTCGATAGAATTATACTTAAAATAGAGCCTATTCCGCAGAGGCCAGCCAAAACAAGGAAAGTGATTCGAAAACAATTTGGACCTAGGCAGGTGTTGCTTGGAATAGGTAGATGATGATTCTGCTTCTCTACCTCAGAATCATATATATAGCCCGCTAGGAGACCGGAGAAGAGGAAAGCCCCAAGGGGATTCCCTAAGAACATGAAATTGCAAAGTAATCCGAAATGTTTCAACCCGAAAAGCTCGGAGACAGTTGGGATCATGATAGAGAATTGAACACCATAGCAGATGCCAAGCAATGCAGTTGCTACATATAGGGTACCCCTGATTGCAGAAGCAAAGAGAAGATACGTAACAGTCATTATTAACTGCGTGCATGTCATCCAAATGGTTCGGGGAATTGTTTTTGACCTGAAAAGAACATCGGGAAATGGAAGAACATTAGAACATAAATTCTCGTGTGTTACTAAAAAAATGTTAGGAGTGCGCAGAAAAGAATGTTCGAGGTCCGCTAACATACAATCTAAACCCATCTAAATCCAATTCAATGTTTATGCATGACTGAATTTTAATCAGCACAGATAGATAAAAACTAACCTGACAAAATGTTCAGAAACACCACCACCACCAAGACGGCCAAGAAAGTTGCAAAAGCTGAAGATGGATAACAAGATTGTGGTGTCTCGTGCACCCTGTGCAATCCCTATCTGAGCCAGATTATTGAGAACAGTTACCCCCGAACCAACTCCCACGAAGAAAACAAAGAAAAGAAGCCAGAAATCAGCCTTGACTACAGCTTCACTAAATTTAAAATCCTCCCCTCTTTTTGGCCTCCTTTTCTTCTTTACTGCACCCTCTCCTTCAGCAAGAAGCATAGCCACCACTGAATCTTCGTCACCTTCACGAAAACTCCCAAGATATGAAGATGAGGAGGAGGGATTCAGGAGGGGTTGGGTTTTATCTGCAATGCCTTCTCCTTGAGCCAAAGATTCGGAAGGGACAACTGGTTGGTTATCCAGAGCTGAGTTGTTGAGTTTCATTCGGGTAATTGTCATCTTTACAGGGATTGCTAATGGAGCCATGAGAAGGATAACCATTATAACAAGAAGAGTGTAGGAAACTGGGGTACTAAATTGAAACATCTGATAAAATGTAGTGGTGGATAGAAGATAAATTCCGAGCACTACACTAGCAGCTTGGGTGAAAACAAAATGTCCGTGCTGCGACGAGTCTTCACCAAAAGTTGGGGTACAAGCTCTAATGAAGTACATCATTAGAAAACAGAGAGACGGAATACCGAATGTAAAGAACATCAGAAGCTTGGAAGAGGAACTATCAAGGAGAATGCTGTAAATTTCAGTAAATACAGCAGCACTTAGTCCTCCATATCCTTTGAGAATACCAGCCACAGTGCCTCTATTGACAGGGAAATTTCTCATGTTTGTGACGAGCACTGCTGTGCTCAACCAAGCACTACTATTAGTGGCAACACAAAGTGCTAACCATAACTGCAAAACAGTGGGGAGGGAAAATTGGAATTTAATAGCAGTTTCCAGATAAAATACGGGAAATAATGACGGAAAATTGGTAAATATCTGCCAGTCGAATGACCTGTTATGCAAGCTTAATAAAACATGGGAGCATATATCTATTGCTGATTCTGTAGCCCAGACTGTAATGGAAAAACAAAGGACCAATGAATTGCTGAGCAACTAAAGTTATATGTATGCAATTTCTGAGCTACAGAAAGGCAATATCAGAAGCAACAAAATCACCATGGTTGATGCATAATTCAGTTGCAACTCTTTCAAATGATCAGATCATTATTCATAGACAAGATAGTCCTGTTAGTAGGTACCTTCTGTGGTTTAAGTCCCAAAAGTACTATTATCATCCATCGAAGAAATTGTGCCTCCACGTTTTCAGTCAGATTCAAGCATAAAAAGATATTAACCATTCAAAAATAGAAGCTATATACTTAATTAATGAATTTTATCTCAAGTACCCTCTGGAGGCACCATGCTTTGAAGGCATGTTAGAATTTTCCTACAGTCCCAAGGTTGTACTTGTAAGAACTCACTCAACCAACAAAAATCATAGGGAATAATGCATTCCAGTTAGCAATATGGCATACATCAACTTGAAAGTGTTGTATAAGCTCGTGTGCACAAAGATTTTTCTCGATTGATCGACAGATTATGGGTCTAGAGCTATAACGAACCGGCATTTTCCCTTGTCAATTCAATCCTTTCTATTCTAGTTACCTAGTTCCTTTGGGAGTAAAAGTGAAGTTTCACTAAAGCAAAATTCCATTATATTCCACTTGACTTGAAAGATAATGCTCTGTCCCCTTGCTTGCAAACGTAGAAGATGTTAGCCCCACAAACTTCAAGAAAATTACCAAATGCTCCCAAACCACCATTTCAAGCCAGATCAAATTTAACTTTACCAGTTGCTAGTAATAATCTTCTCACCAAAGAATCCCCAAATTCATAAAGTTAACTGGACAAAGAAATGTACTACTGAACAGGGAGAAGGGATAAGTCCTATTTAATCCTGGGAAAGGAACGTTAAACAGTAATATCAACAGTCAAAATAGAAAACCCAGAAAGATCAATCAACTACAACAAGCAGCACCAATTCATAGATCATCTTTAACATGTATCAACAATTCAATCAAGAAGATTTAACAGTAATAACCCATCTAATCTACTCTGCATGGATCACCATCTATCCTGTTAAAATTTTCGAAGCTATTCAAAGAAACCCCCATAAAAGCAAATCATAAAATGGGCACCCAGAATTTATGCTGAAGCAAACGTTAAAAATTTAAAAAAAGAAAACAAACAAACAAACACGAACTCACCAACCAGTAAGGCAAGGGCTCGATAGTGCGACTAACAGCAAGCCAGATAACGCCGTACCCGAATAAGCAAGCGAGAGCACCAATGGAGAGAACAAGCCAAGGAGGGAACCTGTTGCAGGCAATACCAGGAAGGAGGCCGACGTTCTCGCCGATATCATTAGCGACGCCGAGCATAGTGAGCTGGCGCTGGTTGAAACCGAGAACCGATTTGAGCGCATGAGAGTAGAGAGGGAAACTGTACGAATTCCCTGCCGCTATTTGAATCCAAACGGCAGCTCCAAGACCGACCCACGGCGGCCTAGTGCCTGCTTTGAGTGTCGCCATTTGTTCTTGCTCCTGAGCTCAAGAACTTGGTCGAGTTCTGCACTTCGATCTACCAGAGAGAGAGAGAGAGAGAGAGAGAAAGAGGGAGAGAGAGATGACGGAGGAGAATATAGGAAAATGCGGGTGAGCAGGCACGAGAAGATTATGGCGTGTGTCTAAATGCAGAGCTGTATTTGTAACATGTGATATAGCATTTAATGGAGTAAATAAATCATCTTCTTCCATGTCATCAGCCTACAAGACTGTTTGTTTCCCTGGAAAAGCAACCAGAAAATAAATAAACAAAATATAATTAGTACAATTAAGGAAAATTCCAAAATTGGTGATTTATTACAACAATTTTAATATTTTCAAAGATTATAACGATTGATTAAAAGTTCTTAAACACTAGAAAAATCAAATTAATCGAAATAATCTGGATTAATCAGGGTCATTTTCTGAAAATTAATTGGGAACCGCCCGAGGAAGGAAGAACGTGTTGCAGTTGGCTTCAAATTCATAACAAAGCTGCAGAGTTTGGCTGGTAGTGCGTGTGCACACACTCCGATTACGTGGCTCCTCTCATTTTTATTAAATATTTTTAAAAAATCTATTTATAGTAAAATAATAATAAATATCTTTTCTTTATTCGCGTCATTATTACGTAATGCGTAAATTTTTTTATTTAATTATTATTTAGACAAAACGATTTATACATCCATTTAATTAATAAATATACTGATTTATTTAAAATTTTCAATTAAAAACACCTAAAAAAATTATGAAAAATAAAGTAAAAAATAATTTTTTTATTAAATTAAATATATTTATTTTAATTTTAAAAAACAAATATACATATATTTTTTTAATAATAAAATATTAACAACAATGTTTAATATATTATAATTATTTTAATTAAAAAAAATTTATATATAATTATCATAATAAATTTATTACAGTCTAGTTTAATTTAATCGATATAATTCTATAAATATATTAATAAATTAAATATTAATTTTTATTAAATTAAATATTATAAAGAACCAATTCACACTATATCTATATATTATATATTACATATATAAAATAAAAGAAATATCACAAAGGGGGTCCATGGCTTCATTGTTAAAGTAGTCACTTTATTAATAAATAAATATATATATATATATATATATACATACATACATGTAAATAAATATTAGAATATGGTTGCTGATTTTGGATAGTTATTAAGGTAATTATATTTTTTTTTTTACAAAAAATAAAGTCATAAATATTCATACCCAAAATTAGAAAAATTACAAAATAAAAGAATTAATTCTTTAATTATGATTTTATTATATATACATGTATATACTATATATATATATATATATATATATATGGGTTTGGTGAAAATGTTACTATCCAATTGATTATGGTCATCATTTGTTTATGTCACTAAGGCAATATAATTATATTATAATATTTACTCAATAAAAATTAAAGTAGTTCGTTAAAATAAAATTTAATTTAATTATTATAATTTTATTAATATACTAACGAGTTAAATTTTAAATCTGCTGAGTTGACGATTATGTGCTGTCACTGTCAGTTCTAATACGCTCGCATAATTGTGAATATTATATTCTTCGATATAGTTTAAATTTTTTATTATTAATTATTAAATTTTTTTTTTACCCATTTGAATTTTGAATGGGATGAAAGTTAGAAGTTTGAGTCTTACTTAATGTAAAATAACATGTATATTATATGATATGACCACACAAAAAAAAAAAAAGTTTAGGTCAAAATAAGGTATTGTTTGGGAGAGGGTTAAATGAAATAGAAAATCTTTATAATCAAAACAAATAAATAACATATATATCTATATATATAGAGAGAGAGAGAGAGAATCATCATAGAGAATTGAAGGCTCTTTCTCTTATTTGTTACAATTAAAGTTTATTATATAATATATGGAGATCCAAACATGGCCCAATTTGAATCTTACCAGGCTTCTTAGAATGCTGTCTATCAAGTAGCCCATTTCATAGCAAACTCCATGGCCCATTTTAGGCCATGTTTGTATTTACGAAAAATACATTTTGTTTTTCGAATGACAATTTATACCCGAAAAAGCATAAATCAATCTAGATCGAATACGATTCGATACAATTTTTTTTTAAAAAAAAAAATTTCGGATAAATGATAGGTTTGGGTCCGCAAGAACATAAGACGAGGTGGGATAGGTTTCGATTTAGCTTGTCAAACTCCGTTCGAACTATTATTCGGTATATTATATATATTAAAATAAATGCGTATATAAATATAAAAATAATAAAATATTACGGAATTAGATAAATTTATTTTAAATTTAGGATGAGTTTAAGTTCTTACTTGTAAAAAAATGATTGAGTTCATAGATACTGTCATCTTTAATATTTTACATTAAGATACTATGTGAGTATATATATATATATATACATAGTATATATTATTTAGATTAGTTTATTATTTATTTAATTATTATACTTGTTATTGTATATATAAATATATGCTAAACAGTTTCATAAACTATATAGAAATTTACACACACTACAAAGAATGGTCTAATTAATACCAAAAAAAATTTACATATTCCCCATTACATACAAACATTCTTCATTTCCCACACGATCTCAACAAAACGACACCGTTTTATATCCACCAAATTATTTAAATATTTACATTCATAAAGCTTATATTCAAATATAATGATCATAAAAAGGTTTATGACATTTGGAATTTTAAAATTAAATGATTATTCCGTAAATATATACATACATATATATATATACATATTTTTACATTCCATTTTTTCTTCTACATTCTAAGTTTAAAACTTTAAATATTAAAGAATTATTTCTTCTTAGACAAGTTAATGTATTAATTAATTAATATATATATACATATATCATAATTACAATATAATAAAATAAATATACTTAAGAATACAATTCGATTTGAATTTAAAAAAATTTGAAAATAATTATTTAATGGGTTATTTTTTACTTTTCATCCTACATGTAAATTTTTAAAAAAGAAATTTCACAATTCCTAATGGAAACGAAAATAACCCCCTTCTACTCAAATTGACCCTTGATATATATATATATATATATATGTATATGCATATATATGTATATATATGTGTATGTATATGTATGTGTATGTATATATAAGCTCTCAAATTGGACTGGAGCAAATATACATCCCACCCACATGGAGCCCACTTTTCTATTCCATATTCTCTTCAACAAAAAACTTTCCATCTGAGTACATTTTTTTTTTCTTGGCCATCTTACAATAACCTGACTCAGATTTCTGGGTTTCTGACTAGACCTATCTTTTGTCTTTGTATTTTTTAGTATTTATATACAAGAATATATATATATACATATATATATATACACACGTGTGTGACGCTTTAGTTTTACAATTTAAACGTATTACACAATCGGCTCTTTAATTTGTGATTTGTAATTAGATTAGTGAGTGATGTTGGGTGTGAGAATCTAATGCGAAATTTGGACCCGGACCTGTCAAGTGCCAACCAACTAATTATAAACAAATATATATATATATATATATATGTATATGTGTGTGTAATAATGTCACTAGCACAATTAGCCATCGTTTTAAATGGCCTTATTGCATGGAAGCTCATATATAAAGATGATATTGATAAAAGTAGATTCATTTAGATATATATATATGTATATATATATAGGGTTTGGTCCCATTAATTGCTTTAGATATAAGATATATATTATTATATGTATGTAAATATGCTGGTGGTGAGTGATCTTGAAAAATCAAAACCATTAACGATTTCCTTTAAATCTCCATGTGGGTATGTGGGTCTGGTTTTTGCATTATGAAAGCTCTGCCTCTGGCCCCTCTGGTTCTATTTGGGGGAGCCGAGTAGGTAAATTTGATGCCATGGATATATATATATATGGTTTTATCTCTCTTTTCTAATCATATATATATATGTATATATATACTCAGTACATGTATATAACGAATGCAAATCGATCTCCATTTTCTACTTTACAAACTTGGCGATGTTCTTGTGCAATTCTAAATCAGATTCATTTGAATCGGTTAAATTTTTTCTCTAAAATAATAAAAATTGATCTTATATAAAATTTCATATAAAAAAATTATCAAATTCAATAAGATTTATGATATATTAATTTAATTTCACTTAAAAAAATTTTACGAATACAATTCCTTTTTCTTCATTTTGATAAAATTTACTTATTGCACTTTAAAATATATATATGTTTAAAAAATAAACTTTAGAACATTTCTATAATTAATCAAATCCAATAACAACATGTAACGACCCTTAAAATTAAAAAAAAAAATGTATATAAAGAATATAAGTGCAGAAGCGAAATAAAAAGTTCTGGTTAATATCCCTTATACAATAACTTAAACGTACTAACAATACCGAAAATGAGTCTTCTAAAGGAAAATACTGGAAATGAAAGACTTTAAAATAAACTAATAAACATCTAGGTATCTTCTCACCATCTTCTTGTAGATCGGGCTCAGGAACGAAGTCCTCCTGATCTGAAATGGTTAAGTAAGGAATGAGCTACACTAGCCTAGTAAAGACATCACACTATATCACTGTCACAGAAGTAAAGGTTGGTAGAAAACCAAAAACAACCAATGGAGCACAAGTTTCAAGTAAATTTATTTATCAATAATCAAACCATTTACCGTCCACTTACCTCAGTGGGATTTATAAAAATGACCAATGGAAACAATAACATCATGATATCATAAGTTCATACATAATCTGTAACATAGTACATATCATACTTTTATATTTCAATCATCAAACAATAGTTGCCCCCTTTTTATCAGCCTACCAGTATCCATGGGGATCCATAGGGGTCCCCGCTACACGTGAACCATTAACTTTAATAACTTGATTTCAGGGTCGTCCCCATACTCCGTCCGGTATGGGCGCCAAAACAATAAACCTCAATACCTCGTCCGGTATGAGGGTGAAGCGGGTCGTCCCCATACCCCGTCCTGTATGAGCGCCAAAACATTTAAATTCTTCATACCCCGTCCGGTATGATACAACATTCCCGGTAGGGTTCCCTATGTATTCGGTTCGTCCACCATCTCCCAGGATATCTAGTGAGGCTGTCAACTTATCCATTTATCAATTCACATACATTTTCTATTTTTCTTTAGTTTTATGTTTCTCACATAATCATGAATACTTAAATAAATAACGAGCATCCAACAAGGCAAGCATATCATCGGATTCACAAAATCGAGCAGTAATGAAATAAACAGTGATTCATGCATTCAAAACTATAAAATAATTAAATCAGATATTATACTGTACTTAAACTGTAAAATAAATCAAAAAAGAACTAACAGAGGAATATGTCCGATTCGGGGCTCCATTAGCAACCGTAATAATTATGTATATCTATTTAATTCATAAAATACAGTTTTATCATTTATTAAACTTTAATCCCGTGATAGAAAATAAGATGAGGGGTCCTTACTTGATTCGAAGCCGAAAACAAGATTTTCACTGCACATACGGGCAGTCCCTGGGTTCCTTGAATTTTTCTCCGGAAACTGAAACGCGCTTATGGTACCTACATATGTCCCAAATAACTCAAAAATCAGACCCAAGGCCTATTCGGCCAATTTCGAAATTTCGTCATGGCGGCTCCGCCGTGCTCCGGTGGCGGCGGCGATGCACCTCGGGTTGGCCGTTTCCGGCTGTTTTCGGCCGAATTCGACCAAACTTGCATTGGTTCCTGTGAGAAAACACTCTTAGGGCCCTTAGTGGGCCGAAAAAACACCGAAAACTGAAACTTACCAGCGGCGAGGCTCTCCGGTGCGGCGGCTCCTTCAGCTCGTGTCGCGATTTGGTGTTTTGCTCTGGTCAACCTGTAGAGGAAGGAACGGTGGTCACAATGGTGAAAAAATTACATCGAACGGGAATCGGGAAGAGCCTCATCGAGGCAAAAATCGAGAAAACCCTAAACCCGGTGGCAGCGGCGATCCACCTCGGGTTGGTCGTTTTTGGCTGTTTTCGGCCGAATTCGACCAAACTTGCATTGGTTCCTGTGAGAAAACACTCTTAGGGCCCTCAGTGGGCCGAAAAAATACTGAAAACCGAAACTTACTAGCGGCAGGGCTCTCCAGTGCGGCGGCTCCTTCGGCTCGAGTCGCGATTTGGTGTTTTGCTCCGGTCAACCTGTAGATGAAGGAACGGTGGTCACAATGGTGAAAAAATTACATCGAACGGGAATCGGGAAGAGGCTCATCAGAGGCAAAAATCGAGAAAACCCTAAACCCAAAATTGTTTTCAATTAAATCTCAAAAATAATTTTATCCCTTATTATTATTATTATTTCTATTTAATTAAATTAAACTAAATTAAAACTATATATTATTACATAATAAATCATTATATTTATCTAAAAATTATAAAAAAATTAAAATAAAATAAAATAATATTAATAAAAATAATAATAATTTGGGGTGTTACACAACCCATATAAGTTATCGCAAATCTGTTGCCTCAGTTCCAAATTTCTTACTTCCAACATTTTTACACAAAGTAAAATTAAATTAAACGAAAAAAAAAAATATCATATCCATGATAATCATGGCTCTTTGTTTAGATATTTTAAATTAATTTCTTGAGTCTTTCAAGTCGAGAGAGACTCAAGTTTTGGTTGACCACAACGTATGAATGGATAGGGTGGAGAATATATAAATAAAAAAGAAAGTGACAAAACGAAATTAAAATTAATAAATAAATAAATAAATAAAAGAGAGGAAAAGAAAAAGTAGAGAGGCTTCTTCCTCTTCGTCCCCACCACCTTTCCTTTTCAACAAACCTTATCTTTGCTGAGAGCTGGTTTCTAGGCTGTAACACCATGGGGCCTCCTCCTCTATCCTTTTGTGGGGATGGGTCTGATTATCACTCTCTATCACCTTTTTTTTTCACTGTTTTCTTGGGTTTTTAAAATAAATAATGGGTACTTAATTATAGTGTACTGTAAATGTTTTGTGGATGGGCAGATAAAAGATTCACGGCAACTAAAATGGAAAATTATTTCATGTACGTAGTACTATAAATTCATTTACATACCTTAACCACCCACGAGTCACAGGGTTTCGCTATGGCGTCCGTACACTTCTATATATATATATATATATATATATATATATGAGTGTACATACTCATCTATACTGCTTTTGTTTTTTTTTTCGTTTGAGATTTTGAAACTATTCATTTTGGCCGAGCATAACCACCAAATTAATTTCCACGTTACCCTGTTTTTTTGTTTCTTGTTTTAGTTTTTAAGAATTATTATTGAGTTTTGACCTAACACGGATTATGATTGTTAAGTTCTATAATCTATATACGTTATTGTTCTTGTTGTGCATAATAAAATACAATATCATGTACATATATAAATTGTAGGCAAGTAACTTTTAATTTTAATTTTAAAAGAGTACGCAATATACTTGTAGTTCAGAAAGAAATATTATGTGGGTCAGAGAAATTCATTAAGTATCAACTTTTACACTACCAATAATATATATCTATATATATATGTGTATATATATATAACTAAGAATACCATTGGCCACCATATGTATTTTTTAGTAGCTATTATCAATTAATAAAAAATGAAAAATTACTTAAAACTCTTGGCGTTATCAAATGTTATATAAATTTTCATATATTAAGAATACAATTTTTAATTTATTGAAAACTAGAAAATTAACGGGAAAAAAATATTTACATATGCATTTACCACCACATAACTAGTTTAAAAAAAAATAATTTTACAAAATCGCAAGTTACTCGAATGATTAATTTGAAAGATTCAACCACAAGCCATAAAACTTTTGATAAAACATTCCGCATGGTGAAAACTTTCAACATCAACATGCTTCAGCAATCATACTACAGAAATTCTTTTAAAACACCATTAAATGCAGAAATTCTATCATGACCTATCAACGATACTCACATTTTAAATCAAAAGGGCATGAAATTAAAATAGCACGAACCTTTTTCTTTTAAAAGTTGAATTGGATAAATTAAATTTGTATCAGGGCGAAAGTCTCAACTCTGATTAACATTTTTTAATTATACAATATAAGAATTTCTGGAATACTACATCTCATCATTTGATTTGGTTTTCTATGGTCGTTTAGAATTTTAATAGCCTTCAAGATGAGCACTTGATTAATAGTAAGAAAAATGTGGACCAGTACATTAAAAAAAAAGGAATCCATGGCAACGATGTCAACCAATGATTCGACCCATATATGTGTATATATAAATATATATATATATATATTTTTTTCTGCATAAAGACAATATCGTTTCTTACTATCTAATACAAATTCATTACGCCTTTCTATTTCTTTATCCTCAATTGGAATATCACACCCCCCAAGGAACACTTTCATCTCTAATTTAAGAAATTTCCAGAGAAATGAAAAAAAATAGGAAACCCGAAAATAATTTTTGCCTCCTAATTAATACAATCCCAAAGAAACTGAATTTACCCCCAACCTGACTGTTTGGAAGTGGATGATGTTTCACCAAAATCCTTTAATTATTTGACAGTAATTTGGCGCTTAGGTGGGAGTTCAAATCAGGAAAGTAATCACACACTATGGATGAGTGATTATGACTCGTGAGGGATCAAACTGTCTTCCACAAAAGTAATGAGTCAGGGAGTCATCAACAATGTCGATATTCAAATGCCACCATTTAATATTTATTAATTATATTTTATTTTAGGCTGACTACGTTCGGTGACCGCATTGTGAATTAATTTCTATCATGAATTCATTTAATTAATTTTTCCATAAAACCCATCTTCTTCTTCATTTCACCTTCTTGATTAGCAAATGCATTTTCCAATTAAATCTCAGGAAAATCCCATTCGTAAACTACTACCATTTTCTCCTTCCATCAAGAAATTAAGCACAGGTGGTTTCAAATTTACCTCGCCATGAGAATACCAGGACAACCTGCAAAAATGGAGGGAGAAGACAAAAAATCTTAATGGAAATGATGATAATAAATGATTAAATTACCCGTTGAAAAAAAAAATAAATATAAAGAGAAACGGCCCTCACCTCGAATTTGAAGAAACTGACCTGTTGTGCGGATACGCCGGACGGAATCCCACGCACAGAGGAAAGGGAAGTGCCTACAAACGGAAAAAAAATGGAAAGCAGTCAAACCAAACGGAAACCATAACGGACCGTACTTACACACACAACACACAACGAAGACGAGTGGAGAAACGGAAAATTGATCAAACAAAACCAACAATGGACTGGAACGTGGAAGATGGTGGCGAATTCAGACGAAGCGAACAAGTTTTGAAATATTAGATCCTATTAGATTTAGATTGGTTTCAAATTATTTTTGATTAGTTTAGAAACGAAATTTTATCTCATAGACCCCTCAAATTCGCCAGTAATGGCTGCAACTGGTATATATATTTAGTCTGTATATACACACAAACAGTATATTGTCATATCATAGTCCTGCCATTCCGATCCGTAGTCTCGGTCGTCGGAATACAAAAAAAAACGCAACCGCTCCACGAAACTGCACCGTATCGATCAGATCACGCGCCATGTCACTGGGATCTGACGTCACCAGCAGCTACTTCACGCCGGAATCTATCTTCTCGTGCGCAGGGATCCTTAGAATTGATTCCGTGATGTGATTGTCCGCATCATTTATCCTCGTCCTTAGACATCACGGATAGGCGGCTCGGCTTAGGCTGGAAGGCGGCGCGTCGACGCTGCTGGTGGGAGGAGGGGCGAATCAGAGCAGCCAAGGCTCTCTTCACCAAGTCCCCCTCCACGCCGCCGATCCTGACGAGCGAGTTCGTCATCGCCGAACGGCGAGCGTTAAGGCGGTTGCTCGGCGAGTAAGACAAGGCTTGCGAGTTTCCATGACCAAATCCTTTGTGGAGGCTGCACCGGAACGACCCCGGGTGCGTTGTAGGAGAGCACATGCAGCTTCGCTTCTGCGGCTTGTTCTGGTTCTTCACGATTTGGCCACCGCGGGAGGAAGGACCAACAGTTGCGATGGATCGGCTGGGGGAAATCGGACGGTCGATTGAAAACCGCACGGAAGGCGAAGACGAAGAGTGACCGTACAGGTTAACACGCGTCGGCGAGGCAGATCTTTGATGGAAGAAAGTGGACGAGCGAGAAGAGAAACTAGAGCTGGAATAAGCGAAAGCGGAAGAAGAAGAAGAAGAAGAAGACGGAGAGCGGCCACTATAGAACCTACCGGACGGCGAGACCGAGCGAATAACCGGTCCACTTGATCTTCTAGAAGTTGCCGCCATTATCGGCGTTGCAGTTTGAGAGAGAAAAGTTACAGAGAGAGAAATGAAAAAGAAGGAAGGGAATTTCTTTTTTCGAAAAAGCTGTACTTGGCTGTTTAGTTGGGCAAACCTGGCTTCACTCGAGCTATGTATTTATAGGGATGGCTGGGGGAGCCAAGGCCTGGTGGGGTAAGGCTTAATTTAATATTTTGCATTTTAAGGAATCAATCTTTCCTTTTTTGCGTTTCTAACCCTTTATTTTTATTTTATTTCAAAAAATACTAACAATGCAAATATATTTGCAAACTTTATATATAAATTTATTTTACAATAATTATTTACAGGGTATTTTATTTCCAATTTAAATTCATTATAATAAAAACCCAATTTTAGAGATAAATTTCCAAAAATAAATTCCAAAAGATTTGGAGATAAATTGACTAGGTTCATCTAACGTAACCCTCTAAATAAATTATTATTTATGAATAATAAATTTCAGATACGTTCAATAATGTAATTATAAAATATATTAAATATAATACATTGAATGAATTACATTTACCTTATTATTCTCCTAAAAAAAAAATCACAAAGTAATCTTTTTGAATAAAAATAGAAAGAACGGGGACCAATGAGCAAAAAGAGAAAGTTTAAGGGCGCGGATTGCAAAGTTATAAAGACGTTTAACCTAACCAGAGGTGTGGTTTGGTTGGGTTAGTTAGAACTCAGGACGTCAATTTGGATCAAACGGTTTCTTGGGAAAGCTATGGGCTCTTTCTCTCTCTCCCTCTCTCTCTCTGTCCCGCTCTTCACAAAAACTATGGATTAAAAAAATATAAAAATAAAAAAATATAATTTTTTACAGAACGCAGCCGTTTTAATCT